GAGAGAGAGAGAGAGAGAGAGAGAGAGAGAGAGAGAGAGAGAGAGAGAGAGAGAGAGAGAGAGAGAGAGAGAGAGAGAGAGAGGATTCAGCCCCTGAATCTGAACCCGTTTGGTGACGAGGTGCAGAATCCTGATTCTCTACACCTCGCCTCAAGTCGCTCTCCTGCCTCCCTCCCCTGATGGAGAGAGTTTCTGTTAGCAAGGATGACTGGTTCCGAAGACTGATGATCAGCTACATCTGGACATGTTTGTGGTGGTGTGAACAAAATAGCAATTTTGCATTCTTCCATAGACACACCCAGATTCGGGCATTATTCCAATCCTCTTCACTAGTCCTCTCTCTCTCTCTCTCTCTCTCTCTCTCTCGCGCGCGCGCGCGCGCACTCACACTCACTGTGTGCACGGCTAGTCCAAGCACAGTAGATTGTCTCTCTCCTTGGTTTAGTAGAGTGCACGTGGCACACAGAGAGAGAACGACGCGGAAGGTGGTGGAAAGGTGGGAGTAGAGGATGAGGAGCAGGTGATGCAAATGGAGTCAAATGAAGACGAGGAAGTAGAGGAAAGGTTTGTGGAGAACGGGGAGGGTACATGGCGAGGGAGAATCTTACCTGGGTGTTCAACATTCAAATAGGACGGCCTCGTATTGTTGGCTGTGGGGCAGGCAGAGAAGATGCCCGCCCGGTCGAGGGGCAGATGGAGAAAGAAGCGCACCGGTACCTACAGTTCACGGCCAGGCCCATATTGCAAAGTTGGTCGTTGCTGGCGCAGGGGCATATGCAGAACTTAGGGGCATTTCAACACACCACTGTGTTTGGGGGGTATCTGCGGAAATACTCGAACTTCTAGGGGCATTTCAACAATTTCCCCTTTAATATCTGATCCATGATTCCATGGTAAGGACAAAAGAAAAGGGAAAAAAAAAAAGAGAGAATCTTGGCTGTTTCTGATGCGACTCCCCGTGAGAGAGAGACGGGGTGCAATCTACTGCCTGCCGGTCCTTTCCATTTCAGGGCATTCATTCTACTACCGTCTTCCCCCGAACACAACGCACCCTCATTTTGGCTGTAACTGGCCGGAAATACAGCTTGTATACATTCATTTTTAGGGTGCGTTATGTTCGGGGGAAGACGGTAGTCAATTTCCGGAACGCATCTAACCGCACTTATGGCTGGCCGCAGATGAATCTGAACGCAATCACGGTTTATTCCTTAGTTTTTTGTTTTTTGTTTTTTTTCCTACGGAAAAAGAACGTCGGCTGTTTCTGATGGGACTCGCTGCCCCGTGAGAGATGGGGAGAGCAATCAAGTGCCTGCCAGCCACTCACACATATCACGGCAGTATCATGCTAGCGCTTTCCACGAATGTATCTGACCACATAGATGAATCTGAAGGCAATCACGTTCTGGGCTTAGCATCGTTTTTCTCCTGTGTGTGTGTGTGTGTGTGTGTGTGTGTGTGTGTGTGTGTGTGTGTGTGTGTGTGTGTGTGTGTGTGTGTGCAGCCGATGTTCCACCAAGATGAGTAGAACCAAGATCAAGGCAGCTTTACAATGAAGCACACTGGAGATGAGCCAATCGAGCACTGAAACAGTTTTGGCTTTATAGCAAGCAACATGGAGCACAACAGATCCGTTACATCGCTTTCGTTGTGATCTCTACTTTGTCTTTCTTTGGGGTACCCCTTTTCTTTGTTCTGGCAGCTCCCTTTTTACTGTGCTGCCTCTTAAGTACAAGGCTGGCCACACTGATTGTGTGTGTGTGTGTGTGTGTGTGTGTGTGTGTGTGTGTGTGTGTGTGTGTGTGTGTGTGTGTGTGTGTGTGTGTG